CTAGACAAAAATTTCATCACAGGTTGAAAGAGCATCACAAAATTAGTAATATTCCAAAGTTTCGTTGCGAAATGTTGTAAAATGCGGATAATATAGCCTTGCGAAATTTGCAATTTTCAGTCATTTTGTATTACAAACGGGAAATTGACTGCCTCGCCCCAGTCGCTTGCTATCAAATAAATTTCCCGTGCGTATTTATCATGGAGGTATTCATAATATACAAAATGACTGAAAAACGGCAAACTTCGCAAGGCTATATTATCCGCATTTTACAACATTTCACAACGAAACTCTGGAATATTACTAATTTTGTGATGCTCTTTCAACCTGTGATGAAATTTTTGTCTAGATCAAAATTTAGTCTATAATGCAAATGGTCCATTGTCAATAAAATTAAATTCGTCGATAAGTGCGGGGTTAAAAATCGTATATATTTCGATTGTGGCATCGAATATCTTCATACTACAGGCTAATTTGGAGTCCATTGCTTGCTTTAGTAATTCAAATGCATATAAATTCTATATTGTTTACTTGTATAATCAGTTGAACTTTTTACAAGAAATGCCGCGAAATTGGCTAGCCATTAAATGGCTAATGTAAATAAATGGCTAATGTAAATAAATTATAAAAACCTTAGCATTAGCCTTAGGAATACTAATGATAGTAATGTACTATATTTTATTTCTTATAGTATTTTTTCATCTTTCAATTTGTTGTAAATAGTTTCTGCTTGTATATAATTTCTTCTTTCATAGTCTTTTATCACTATAGAAAACTAAATCTAGGGGCCTTACTATAAAAGTCCCACAGGATTTCCAAAAGTCTCTAGCCCATTATACTATACTGTAATTATTTTTTTACTACTTGTAAATATTTTGTGGGCAAATTAATAAAATTAAAATAAAAATAAATAAAATAAATTAGTTAAACCGGAAGTGTTTCGGCTTCGAGAACGCGCAAGTGGTGTTGGGATAGGTGAGAATTCCTCCTTTCGCTGAAGCATAACAAGAAGAAGACCTTCGTCAACTTTATACTTAAAGCAGCTGCTCTTTCATTTTAAACTTGTGACAATAATAGTGAAGAATCAACGCTACAGAATATGGACGAAGGGATAGACGAAGAACTTGAAATGGCATTCGAGCTCGGTTTTATTAAAGGCTCTTTAAAACGACGCAAGCTCATTAAACAGCTACAACGTGACGACTATAATAAAAGGGAGTATTTTCTGTTTAAAACATTAGCGAGCAAGTTGGGTATAGATTTACCAGATCAACCGCCCGAAGAGACAACAGCCGAAGACGAGATAGATCAATTTTATAGCAATCAAGTCACTCACGTTCAAAACTATCTATTAGAGTACAAGACTAACCACGTTGAAAAAATATTTTCAATCGGAGACCAAGTTGAAAAATTGTTAATTATTATTTCTAAATATGATGAAGTCTTCGGGAAAAACGAAAGCCTTTTGAACCAAAACGTGCAACGACTGCCAAAGCTTGTAAAGAAATTAGAAATAATGGCAAAATCTCTAGGCATAGATATAAGTGAAGAGTTGAGCAAAGTCAATGATCATGAGAAGTTAGACGAGGACGACATAAATATACTAAAATTACAATTGAAGACGAAGCTGTGTAAACGCGCCAATGAGCCGACTGAAATGAACACAAAACGAAGCGAAGTAGACCCGACTAGAATGATCACCGATGACTATTGGGCTATTTCCTTGGTTCGACTGCCTGGCGCAAGTCATAGTCAACACGCTTTTCTCGTTCTTGAAGGAATAACAGGTAACAAGTCAATGATATGGCTCGTTGAATTTGTCGCAAACCACGCATTCGATTTATTCCGTCTTGGAATAAATGAAGGAAAACTGAGATTGGATTATTACGAGTCATCTACCAAGTCGTCGTCTCAATGTCATAAAAAATTGATTGAAATTTGCAAAGGCGGTCGTTGGCTACATGAAACATGGTACATAACCAAAGGCACTGCTCAGAAGCTAATACAGTGCATTGATGAGTGGCGAATGAGACCTCCTGAATTTAACCCTTTTACGTTAGCGAGAATGATGGTTCACGATTTAAACGACGAAAACATTGAGATACCAGAACTAGAAGACACATTAGAAGAATGGATATTCTCAATACAGTACAACAATAAATGGTGGAAGTTGTCGCGGTTTTCTCTGATGTTTACATTTGTAGCTGGTTCAGTTATTGCTTACTCATTCTTAAAGCTTTGGTAAGCAACAAAATATTTTACCAGTGTGTTAATATATTATGTCAAAGGCTTAGAGACCATGCCTCCTTAGTCTTTCCTTCCACAAGCGAACAACCCTGGAACATTAAAGGACTTGCTGTAATATAAGTATACTGAGTATTGTGTGTGTGCGGAAGAAGTTAATATACAAAATGTGTAACCTTTCAATTCATGGTATATTCACTTGCAATTTCTTGTCGTAATATAACATTTGTTAAAATTTAAAAAGTTCTTTCAAGACAAATATATACCGCAAACTTTGTACTTCGTTAGTTCTAAACTGAAATGTATCAACCAAAATGTTTAAATCTATACTTTATAGTGTCGCCCCATGTGAGGCAATCCAGGAGGTATTTGGATTCCAAATCCTACTCCTTGGATTCCAGATTCCACATCTTGGATTCCAGATCCCGAAACTATAGTGGATTCCGGATTCCAATTTCAGGGCCTTAGCTAGCATGTATAGTTGGGGGAGGGGGGGGAGGTGTAGGCCAAAAATTTCCGTAGCGACGAAAACATTTTCCGAATATTTTATGGCATGCGAAGCCACGAATGTGTTTGCTATCCGGAAAATGAAGACGCTATTTACAAACAAAAATATGCATGTTTTACGCATAGATGTATTACAGAGCTTGCAATGTCGTAGGGAGTTCTTTTTTATTGGGGGGCAGAGAACGAAGGCCCGAGGAAATGTTTAAATTTAGAGTCTCTGAAATGCCATTTCCTGGACTTTGGGGAAGTTTTGACAGAATTCTGATGGTCAGAAAATAGTGTTTTAGTTCCGGTCGAAATTTACAATTTGCTTACAATAGACCTTTCCGCTAATTACGTCACGACTAACACTGTTTTCAACTTACGACCACTTTTAATGAAATAGATTTTAAATTTGTTTCTTACGGGCTATGGTCAGAAGAGCAGAACATCCTTTGTCAACACATGCATAAAAAGAATTTTTGATTTTGACCAATAAATGTGGAAATAAGCTTAAACACGAAAACGAGGCCCCTCAGCCTCGTTTTTGTGTTTAAGCTTATTTCCACGTTTAATGGTCAAAATCAAAAATTCTTTTTGATGCATGTGTTGACGAAGGATGTTCTGCTTCTCTGACCATAGCCCGTAAGAAACAAACTTGAAATCTATTCTATTTAAGGTGGTCCTAAGTTGAAAACAGTGTTAGTGGTGACGTAATTACCGGAAAGGTCTATTTAGTAGTACTAAGTGGGTGAAGGCATATTTAATTAACTATACATATTGGAGAAATTGCAGGAAAGTGTGGGTAGTATGGTTCTTTGCAGTCTGTCATCAATTTCTGCATGATTTGGAAAAAAAGAATGATCAGTTAGCAAATTATTGGGAGGGCTGCACCACACAGCCCCCCCCTCCCCCGGTTGCCACGGCCCTGAGAAGTAATAAACCGAAAAATATTTACCGATTTAATATTTGTTAAATGTTATCCATGTAAATGCCCTGATTTCGTAAATCAGTTTATACTGGCATGATACTACAATTATATTATATTTTCTCTGTTTAACGACTAAAATTTTGTTATACTATTATTGACCTAAGTTTCCAAATGGCCAACCCGATTTTCCGAATATGTTAATTCTAAAAAAGTTGGGGGAGGGGTAAACCCCCCCCCCCCAATACCCCTCCTCTTGCTACGGCCCTGTCCAATTTATTATTTTGTGTATTGCAAAGCCAATATCAGTTCCCAGTGCATCTGAGTTCACAGTACTAATTACGCTTGGCATAAAATGTTTCAAATGGACAACTTGCATGTTAGACTAAATTTTAATCTAAGCTTAGAAAAGGGAATCAAACACCACAGCTAAAAAGAACATACTGAAATTAGTAAAAGTGCAAAATTTGGCTGCGAAATGTTGTAAAGCTTGGAAAATATAGCCTTGCAAAGTTTGCATATTTTCAGTATATTTGTATTACGAGTGGAAATTGTTACCATTTTCGGCTCAAAAATGGTAACAATTTCCGCACGTAATACAAATATACTGAAAATATGCAAACTTTGCACGGCTATATTTTCCAAGCTTTACAACATTTCGCAACCGAATTTTGCAAGTTTACTAATTTTAATAAGTTCTTAACGGGAATTTACTTTTTATTTGCCTACATCGGTTAGATCAAAAATTTGTCTAACATGCAAGTTGTCTATTCGGCCACAATAAATGTCCCAATTTTTGCGGATGGCGCGCGTATTTTTTTGGAGTCTGGAGACGAAATTAATTTTCGAAATGTGCGCTATTTTAAGATAGCTGCGGTGACACGAAGGGCATCCTTAGACAAATATGTACTTGGGGGATGAATAGCGTGTTATTAGGGGATCAGAATGGTACCAAAGTTGCCATGACTACCTTTATTGTTTTGCCGCTTTCGAGCATTCTTTCAGAGCAATTTCGCATACAATGGCGCATCGAAGCCAAAATGTTAAAATTGATGAACTTCGGCTTCGAATAACTTTTGTTTTTAAGGCCATCCTTTTATAATATTTGGTAGGACTAAATTTATGGCCTTTATCTAAATTCCTACCGAAGCACTTTTTTCGATTTCGTCTTTGATCGCAGTCAAAATGCATTTGAATAAGGCCACCAGACAGAGCCTTTGGATGTCAACGCAATTAATATAACGTTTCGCGTCTGAGGTTGCAGTCAAAAGAAAGATGGAATTATCGGCCACGTAACAGAAATTGAGGCGATTAGACGAAAAGGTATGTTTCGCATTTGTTTATTGTATTATTTGTACGAAAAAAGGGATAATATATTGATATGTTTTAAAAAGCAGGCGACTTGTGTTGTTGATTTGAATATTGTAAACATTCTTGAGCGCTCAAGAGCTATAATACCTATAGCGGCCTATAGCTACAAGCCCTTTAACCCTATATTTTCGAATTGGGAGGGAACAAGCGAAATATGTTTAAAATTACGAACAATGATGTGTTGTATATTATATTTCCACATTGACAGTTGTCACACAGATATAAGTAGATTGACTAGACAATATGATAAATAATAATAAATAATAATAATTTATTCAAACAAAGTCCCAATATTGGGACATAGAATACATGGGTAAATAACTAAATAAGTCGTTACGGTCTATAACAATAACATAGATATTAATATATATGAAAAAAATTGATAAATGTATAAATACACATACATACACACGCACACGTGAGTAATTAGACCAGGCTATCAAAAGCAGCCAAAACGTCGAAACAATATTTGCCTACTAACTTCATTATTGACTTATCCTTCATAGCCATAATATATATAACAAGACGCTCTATTGAGCGTTAGTCGCTGGGGCTATTGCATATTACGCTACATGAGATTGAGATTAAGACTGCTATTTGTTTGTTAAGTTCATGTGTTCATATAATAAAATTGTTTTTGTCAAAAATGGGATTCAAGGAAAAATTAAAACAAAGTTCATCAAACAAGTCCCCGGACTATAGACGATAAACAAATTTGTCTAAGTTTGGTTATATCCAATTCACAACTTTACATAAATCACATGCCTTAAGGCTGCATTCCAGTTACGCATTTTTCATACGTGCGTACACGCACGTAAAAGTTGAATTCGCTTTACATCCTGATCCTACTTATGAAATAACTAAATTTATAAAAGGACAGCATTCAGTTTTGTGTATGATTTAATGTGTATTTGTTAAGGTTATTTGCACTTATATGAAATTTTAAGCGAATTCAACTTTTACGTGCGTGTACGCACCTATGAAAAACGCGTAACTGGAATGCAGCCTTAAGTATCATTGTTCTAGTGTACTGAAGCATAGAGTATAGAACAAAGATAACTAAGCTTTAGAATTATCTAGCTACATGAATGAATGAATGACTTTTATAGTGTATATGGCTTATCAAATGCTTAGTTACCTCTGTTCTATTCTTTGTGTGAACTACTGTAGAACACTAACTAGGCATGAATATTTAAAGTTGTGAATTGCATAGCAACAATGTAACTAACTTTGCCAAATTTATTTATCTATACAAATTAATATGTTCTGTGTGTTTGAATTGTACAATACCTATTGTGAGATTACAGCTGTCCTGAGAGCTTTTAAAATATCATTTGCCAGCAAGGCAAGAAGCTCTATTAAACCCTTGTCCCATTAAGCAGATTCTATTTACATCCAAATAAACAGCAGTTGACTTGCGAATATTATTGTTGCAATTTACGAAGTTCCAACTTTGTGAAAATTGTGAACTTTTGTCGTCTATTTCTGGCTTCCAGCCTTCCAAGTTTACTCATATAAGATGACTTTCGGTTTATAAAGTCCGGCTGATGGGAAAACTATTAAGTTTCATCGAAAAAATGAAGAAAATATGCACAAAATCGATGAAATTATTTCCAAATACGCTCCCAAGTAAGCGGCCATCTTGAATCCAGCGACTGAAAGTAATGACGTAATGTTTGACAAAAAAATGACGTAGGTCATTTTGTGACCAACAATCCGCGATGAAGCCGAAACCTATAGTCGCTGGAGGCACACAGTGCCCCAGCGACTAAATAGGTTTTCCGAAGTAAATAAGTTGAAAAACCTATTTATTTTATATAAATTATCAATGAATTTTGTCCTGAGGTCGATGAACTTCATGTTTGTACAAGACATTAAAAAGTGATGTTCATCTCCTACTTCATTTAACTCACAAAGTCTGCATAGTCTATCATTGTATGGGACATTGTTGTATCTACCAGTTTCAACAGTTAGCTTATGTGCTGATATTATTAACTTTGTAACAGCTTGACGATATTTGAAATTACTAATTTCGTTTAAGTATTTTTCACATTCAAAGTGTTTTTTTATTTTTCTAAAAGTTCTTAGCTTGCCAGTATTTTCGACAGGTTGAAACTGCTCTGCCCAATACAATATAAACGCTTCTTTAAATCTATGTTTCACGTGATGGCAAACATTTCCTTTTTCTGTTTCAGATAATTCCGTCTGTAAGTTGGATAATTCAGTTTGTGAATCGCAATTTTCTCCCCCACATAGTTGCAGTGCATATTTGATAAAAATTGTTGACTTTAGGTTAAGTTCCATGCATACATTCGCTGCTTTTCCAACAAGCGTGTTTGATAACAATGAACTTTTTATTCGAAACCAATATTTTACAACCAGCTTAGCTATTTGAACGATCAAAGGCGTTCTTCCTAGCTCAGCATAAATAGCCATGTTTGTTGATTTTGAATGAACTCCTAAGACTCTTTTGCAGAATTTTAGATGAAGTTTTTCAATTGCACTATTGATTTGGAAAATTTTTTTCTTGAACATTTCGAAAGAGTTTATTCTGCCCAATAAATGCGGACCCCACACTTCGCAACCGTATAATAAGATTGGGGTAACTATCAAAGAAAATAGTTTTAACATTAGTTTTATTGGAACATTTTCGACATTTGAGAAACTTTTAAATATACTATGATAGGCATGTAATGCTTTTCCGTAGATTATCTTTTGTGCTCGCTTGAAAGTACCAGAAAAGTGAAGAGTAATACCCAGATAACAATATTCATCAACTTGTTCCAAAATATTTTTACCGAATGTCCAGATTGATGTAGAATGCCTACGTTTTTGGGTTGGTGTTCCAAATACTAGAACTTTGGATTTTTTAAGATTAATGTTTAACTTCCACTTTTTGGTATAGTAAACAAGTTTTGTGAGGCAATTTTGTAACCCTGCCCTGGATTCGGATAATAAGACTAGGTCGTCTGCGTAAAGCAAACAGCTTAGATTTGTATCATTTAATTTTACTGGAGTGCATGACCTGTCAAATATATCAGGTAGATCATTAATGAATAGGTTGAATAAAGTAGGACTTAAGTTACAACCCTGTTTGACCCCTACATGTGACCTAAAGAAAGTTGTATACCCCTCTTCCAATTTTACCGAACAGTCATAGGAGGAATACATGCTTAACATTAAACGTATGAATCTTTTGTTGCAACCATTCAAGATCAATTTGAAGAAAAGACCCTCCCTCCATACACTATCGTAAGCTTTTTTGAAGTCAATAAAACAAGCAAAGATTGGTTTACGTTTTGATTTGTAATAATCTATTAGAGTTTTCAAAACTAATAGATGGTCGGCTGTCCTATAATTTTTTCTAAATCCGATTTGGCAATTACTCATAATGTTGTTTTCGTCTAAATATTTATTTAGTCGTTCATTCA